GTGCGTCTGCTCTCTCAGGTTCTGCGTCGGCTTCGGCCTCCCACACCTTCACCCTTGACTCGGGGGCTTCTCGCTCCTTCTTTCGAGACCGCACCACACTCACGCCGCTTAGCCGGCCAGTTGCAGTCTCTCTGGCAGACCCCTCTGGGGGTCCTGACCTTGCTCACTTCTCCACTGTCCTCCCGTGTCCGGCGGCCCCCTCTGGCACCCTGTCTGGTCTTTACCTTCCCTCGTTCTCTACGAACTTGGTGAGTGGTGCTGACCTACAGGATGCGGGGGTTCACCAGTTCACTCCTGCGAGTCGGCGGGTGACCCACTGCACAGACGCTCGGACAGGCCGACACCTGGCCACGTTTACCCGTCGGCCGGGGTCGAGCCTGTACACCCTGACCACTGCGTCTCCTCCAGTCACTGCGTCTGGTCAGGTAGCTGCGTCGGGTCAGGTGTTTGCTGCAGCGTCCAGGTCTGGTCCTGAGTCTGCCCCCTGTTCGTGTCGCCTCCTGTCTCACGAGACTCTCCTCTGGCACCACCGCCTTGGTCACCCCTCCCTGCTTCGTCTCCGAAGCATGGCCTCCCGTGTCCTTGTCTCTGGTCTTCCCCGGTCCCTCCCTCCCCTTCCTCCGGGGCCTGGCCCTACCTGCGTCCCCTGTGTCGAGGGGCGGCAGCGGGCTGCCCCTCACTCCTCCCAGTTTCCTCCGACAGAGGCCCCGCTGCAGACGCTTCACATGGACGTGTGGGGCCCGGCCCGCGTCCGTGGACAGGGTCACGAGCGCTACTTCCTGCTGGTGGTTGACGACTACTCGCGTTACACCACAGTCTTCCCCTTGCGCAGCAAGGGTGATGTCACTGAGGTGTTGATCGACTGGATCCGCGCAGCTCGTCTCCAGCTCAGGCAGAGCTTCGGCTCGGACTTTCCTGTTCAGCGTCTGCACTCTGACAGAGGTGGAGAGTTCTCCTCTGGCCTTCTGCGAGCCTACTGTCGTGCACGAGGCATCCGCCAGACCTTCACGCTTCCGGACTCTCCACAGCAAAATGGGATTGCTGAGCGCCGCATTGGCATGGTCATGGACGTCGCCCGTACGTCCATGATGCATGCGGCTGCCCCCCATTTTCTGTGGCCGTTTGCGGTTCGGTACGCGGCGCATCAGATCAACCTTCACCCCAGGGTCTCCATGCCGGAGACCTCCCCAGCTTTGCTGTGGACGGGGAAGGTTGGCGATGCGTCTGCGTTCCGTGTCTGGGGATCTCGGGCGTTTGTCCGCGACTTGTCTGCGGACAAGCTGTCCCCTCGTGCTGCTCCTTGCGTCTTCCTTGGCTTCCCCCCTGACGCGCCAGGGTGGCAGTTCTACCACCCCACCTCTCGCCGTGTCCTGTCCTCCCAGGACGTCACGTTTGACGAGTCGGTCCCCTACTACCGCCTCTTCCCCTACCGCACTCCGTCCCTCCCCCCGCCACCGCTCTTCCTTGTCCCAGGTCCCCCCCCGGTAGACCCCCTCCCCCCTCAGGGTTCTGCCCCTTCAGGTGTGTCCCAGGTAGACGCAGTCGAGCCTGTCGAGGTTACTGGTGACTCTGGTGCTGCTGAGGGTGCTGAGCCTGGGGGTGCTGACTCTGGGGGTGCTGAGCGTGTGGGTGCTACGCCTGGGGGTGCTGAGCCTGAGGGTGCTACTACTGGGGGTGCTGAGCCTGAGGGTGCTGAGCCTGGGGGTGCTACTACTGGGGGTGCTGAGCCTGGGGGTGCTGAGCCTGGGAGTGCTACGCCTGGGGGTGCTACGCCTGGAGGTGCTGAGCCTGGGGGTGCGGAGCCTGAGGGAGCTGGGCCTGCTCGTGTGGCGTCTGGCGGTGCTGAGCCTGGAGGTTCTCCGGGTGCTTCGTCTCGGCGGGAGCCACTCTCTCCACAGGAGCTGCGCGAGTGGTTTGCCCGGCGCTGGAGGCGTGCTGCTGGAGCTGGAGGTTCTTCGGCTGCTGAGGGTGCTGGTGCCGCGGGTCCCGGAGGTGCTCGTACTGGGAGTACTGGAGCTGCTGGGCCTGCGGGTACGACTGGAGCTGGAGCTGCTGAGGGTGTTGGCGCTGAGGCTACTGCTGTCGGTCCTGGAGGCGGTCCTGCTGGGGGTGCTTGAGCTGGAGGTACTGCTGGCGCTGGTGCTGCCGCTGGGGGTACTGGTGCTGTCCCTGCTGTGTCTGGAGTCGCCACACGGCCTAGGCCGTACTCCGTTCCGCTCCTTCAGCAGGTTCTTGGTCTCCCGCCTTCTACTGGTCCTCCTCCTCCCTTAGAGTGTCCACAGCCTGTCCCGTCACAGTTACAGTTACAGCCGGCCTCCCCACTGCCCGCTCCTTCTCCCTACACTGGTCCTACTGGAGGTCTTGCTGAGCGTCGTGAGCCTGCGTCTCGCCCTGCGTCGCCTGTCCGTGCTGCTCGCACTAGTGCTCGTGGTTCGCGTCAGCGTCCTCCTCCTGTCCCTGGCACGCACCGGATGTCTCTGCGTCCGTCCACTGCTCCTCTGCGTGCCCCTTTGCCTTCTCCTCCTGAGTCCTCTCTTCCTGCTCTTCCTGACCCGGAGTCGGACTCTCTTCGTGCTGCCAGTCCTACTGTCACGCGTCTCCTTGCTACTGTTGTCACTGACCCTTCCTTTGAGTCCACTGCTGCGTCTGCCCTAGTTACTGAGCTCGTCGACTTTGCTGCTCGCTGTCGTCTAGACTACGCTGCTAGTCTTGTTGCTGAGTCTGAGTCTGTCTGTCCTCCGTCCGTCGGGGGTGAGTGTGCCCTTGGCACGGACGTCCTTGAGGACAGGCAGGAGGAGTTCCAGTGTTTGGCTGCTGCTTCACCTCATCTCGTGTCCGTACTGCTTACCCCTGAGGGAGACCCGGATGCACTTGACATCCCGACTCCGCGCTCTTACGCGGAGGCGATAGAGGGTCCCTACTCCTCTCAGTGGCAGGCAGCTATGGACGCAGAGATGGCTTCCTGGAAGTCCACAGGCACCTACGTTGACGAGGTTCCCCCGCCTGGGGCGAACATCGTCAGTGGCATGTGGATTTTCAGGGTGAAGCGGCCGCCGGGTTCTCCGCCTGTCTTCAAGGCGCGTTACGTGGCTCGTGGCTTCAGTCAGCGGCAGGGAGTTGACTACTTTCAGACCTTCTCTCCCACCCCAAAGATGACCACTCTTCGGGTACTGCTGCACATAGCTGCTCACCGCGACTACGAGCTGCACTCTCTTGACTTCAGCACTGCTTTCTTGCAGGGCAGCCTGCACGAGGAGATCTGGCTGCGTCGCCCACCTGGCTTCACTGGGTCTTTTTCTCCTGGCACCCAGTGGAGCCTCCGGCGGCCAGTCTACGGTCTCCGCCAGGCACCGCGTGAGTGGCACGACACACTGAGGACTACACTTGCGGCTCTTGGGTTTGCTCCCTCTACTGCCGACCCGTCGCTGTTTCTGCGCACCGACACTTCTTTGCAGCCGTTCTACATCCTCGTGTACGTCGACGACTTGGTCTTTGCCACAGCTGACACTGCTGGACTCGCCCACGTGAAGTCCGAGCTGCAGAAGAGACACACGTGCACAGACCTGGGTGAACTGCGCAGCTACCTTGGCTTGCAGATCACCCGGGACAGAGCACGCCGCACCATTACCCTGACTCAGTCACACATGGTGCAGCAGGTCCTTCAGCGCTTCGGCTTCACGTACTCCTCGCCTCAGGCCACTCCTCTGCCTACTCGCCACTCGCTCTCAGCTCTGCCTTCGGATGAGTCCGTAGAGTCGAGTGGCCCGTACCCAGAGCTTGTTGGCTGCCTCATGTACCTGATGACCTGCACACGACCTGACCTTGCATACTCTCTTAGCATTCTTGCACGCTATGTTGCTCCTAAGAGACACAGACCGGAGCACATGGCTGCAGCGAAGAGGGTGTTGCGCTACTTGTGCAGTACGTCGGGCATGGGGCTTGTGCTTGGAGGGCAGAGTCCAGTGGTCCTCACTGGACACGCAGACGCTTCTTGGGCTGACGACCAGGCTACGCAGCGGTCGTCACAGGGTTACACCTTCAGCCTTGGTTCCGGCTCTGTTTCGTGGCGGGCTACTCGCTCGTCTTCTGTTCTCGGCTCCAGTTGTGAGGCTGAGATCTACGCCGGGGCCATGGCTGCACAGGAGCTTCGCTGGCTCACCTACCTGCTGACTGACCTCGGAGAGCCGCCTCGTTCTCCTCCAGTGCTCTACGTAGACAACAAGGCCATGCTGGCCTTGTGTCGAGAGCAGAGACTGGAGCACAGAACGAAGCACATTGCTCTTCGCTACTTCCTTGCTCGTGAGCTACAGCAGCGTGGTCAGCTGCGACTTGCGTACGTGGCCTCTGAGGCCAACACTGCTGATATCTTCACCAAGGCACTTGCGCCTTGTGATCATCAGCGCTTCTGTACTCAGCTGGGTCTTGTACCTACCTTGCCTCACTTGCTCACCTCTTGACCTTGTTTGTACTGTTGCATATATATATACTCCTGCTCTTGCTTGTCTAGCCTTATATATATATGTAATCCTGCATGTGAACTGGCCTTGTGGCCTTGAACTTGTGCTCGGAATGTGTGGTGACTTTGTGATCCACCCTGAGCTTGCTTTGCTTTGCTTGACTGGTCTTGTGACCCCTTGTTCTCCCCCACTTTGCCTATGGGGGTGTGTCAGAGTTATATGACATAGCTACTGTAGGCTGTAGTGGGGTAGCACATATGGGGTACAGTTGCCTAGGGTTTGCCTTTTTGTACCCAACTTTCACTTAGTCATTTCATTCCTGTTTTCTTGATTCACACTCTAGGCCGGGTGTATGAAGTCCTCTTGAGCTACCCAGAGCTCGCCATGTCCCATGTAATTTATCGCATCGAATGTACACGATTTCTAGCGCTGCCAGCACAACCAAGCTGCAGCAGTGGTACGCACCCAAGGCATACACATTCATAAACGTCAGCAGCATAGTCCAGTCCACTCCACACTCTCCTCCAACTGCACATCGGCCACTCACGCCCACTCGCCCGCCTCCACCGGCTTCCCCAGCTCCTCACTGCGCCACCCCAGACCCTCCCTCACAAACCCCATCCACTCGTCCCCCTCACACCCGCTCCCATACCCACTCTCCTCCCCACCCCCCAACTCTCCCTCTCCAGCACCCCTCACTCCGCCCCCTCCCCCTTCACCCTCCCCCACGGCCAAATCCCGCCGCACCTCCCCGCCAAACTCCCTCTGCAAGTCATCCGAAGCCCCAATGAGCAGCAGCTCGCACCCCGGGTGGTCCAGAAAGCCAGGTGGGTCCGCAGGGGCGAAGCGCAGCCCATCAAGGCGCTGCTGCAGCGGGGGGGGGAAGGCCTCTAGGCGCACAGAGGGGCGCGCGAGGTAGGGCGGCCTGCTGGGGGTTCTTCACCTGCAGCACGTAGGAAGCTTCCCTCTCTATGTTGAACGCCTCCTGTGGAATCTCCTGCTCCCTCTCCTCTTCCCTCTTCTTCTCCCCCGCCTGCTCTGCACTCTTGCCTTCACCCACCTTCTCCCCCGCCTGCTCTGCACTCTTGCCTTCACCCACCTTCTCCCCCGCCTGCTCTGCACTCTTGCCTTCACCCACCTTCTCCCCCGCCTGCTCTGCACTCTTGCCTTCACCCACCTTCTCCCCCGCCTGCTCTGCACTCTTGCCTTCACCCACCTTCTCCTTGCCACTTGCCTGCTCGCCCTCCCCTCCCTCCGGGCCTTGTTGCCCTCCTGCCTTTTCCTCCGCTCCCGCTGCCTCGGGCCACCGGAGCGAGTACACCAGGTGGGTGTGACTCTTCCTGCTGCTGCTGCGGGCGGCCCCTCGGCTCACTCTGGCGCCTGGCACGTGGCTCACTCTGGCGCCTGGCACGTGGCTCACAATCAAGTACCTGCCCGCTGCTGCTGCCCTCGCTGCTGCCACATGCTGTGTGCCACGTGTCTTGGTCTCATAGGTGTCTACAGGGGTGGATGGGTGGGTAGTGGTGGCCGAAAAAGCGAGCAAGATAAGCAAGGCGAGCATTAGAGTTGCAAGGAGAAGAGAAGCACTTATCTTTCGAATGAGTCGCTTTGGAGAAGGAAAGCGAGAAAGCAGGCAGCACAGAAGCGTTGAAGCAATGGCATTCGAGCAACGCGCATCCGCTGACTGTTCGCCCACCCACCTCCCTCAAGTGCCGCCCTGATTTCCGCCACGTGGGGTGACACGGCATCCACATAGCCTCGGTGCGGTCGAGAGCGGTGCGAGGGGGTGGGCAGCAGCTTGCGCCCCACTACCAACAGGCGCAGAGGAGGCCGTTCGTCCGCCTTCCCTTCCTCGTCTGCCTCGCCACTGCCTTCCGCACCCTTCGCCACGCCCTTTTCCTCCTCCTCCTCCGCCTGCTGTTGCTCCTTCTTCTCCTCGTCCTCTTGCGTGTTCTGCTTACCCCTACCGCCCTCCCCCTTCTCCTCCAACTTTTCCACCGCTGCCTCGTCAGCTGGCTCTTGCTTCACCTGCTTCCTTCTCAGCCCCTCACCCTCTGCCTCACCCTTCTCACCCCCCTCACCGTCTCCCCTCCCCCTCTTCCTCCCATCTCCATCTTCCCCCTCCTCCCTCTTGACACTTTCGGCGTCACCATCACCCCTTCCCCTCACTCTGTTCGCTGCCCTCACTCCCCTCTCCCCCGCCACCTCCCTATCTGCTGTTCCCCCTCCATCCTCCTTTCCCCCTTCCTTTTTTACCCTTCCCTCCTCCTCCTCCGCCTCCTCCGCCTTTCCCCCGCCATCCGCGCGCTCACCGCTGTCCAGCGGACGCAGCAGCATGTAGAAGCGCTGCACTTCATCCACGCTATGCGCCTCCTCGCGATTCACCTTAGGGCGGTAGAAGAAGAAAATATCGCCTCGCTCCTGATAGGTTCCCAGTCATCCAAGCACGAGACAAAAGGGAGGTCACTGGTAAGTTCCGTGAAGCAAGGGCAAAAAGCGAAGGGCGACATACCGATGCGCGCGGAGCGGCGCGAACGGCGTTGACCACATTGAAAACCAGCGTCACGTAGCGAACTCACCAGAACGCGGTAGGGCTTGTGCACGTCAGCCATGGTCGGAGCTCGAAACGGATAGACGGCAACGACCGACGTGCACTACTATATCGCGGACCATGCGATTGGCCAACACGCCAGCGGCCCTTCTTTCGCCCTCGAGAAAGCTCACTCCTCCTGTCACAAGGGACAAGCTCTCAGCTCGCAGATCGCCTCTCATCTCGAATCGTAACGTGTGTAGGGAATAGATCGCAACCGTAGCCCAGAATATCACATGGGGCTGCATGGCTCGAAGCAGGTGAGGTGACCATCACGAGAGAAACTATGATTGTACGGCATTGTAAGTGATTCACTTAAAGTTATATAAGGATAACATGTATAACAGCCCAATGCAGTATTTTTCTTGGTGTTTCGACACTTCATTGATTCTCCCTGCTTTCCAGCCCCCACTGACCTGGACAGCTTGTCGTCTTGCGTGTTTCAAATCGTTTTGCGTCACGCTGGCACTTCTCGTACAGTCACTTTAGCCCGAGGTTTTCACTGTAGTCGTCCTTTCCAACTCGCTGATTTCTACGTCTTCTAAACAAAACGTACCAAACTCGAAAAAGTGGGGCAATCCCAAGGCCGCTGTGCGTGTTCCGTGCCGATCTGCGCGCGCACCGCCCAACCAAACCGTGCTCCTCAGCTCCTACTGGCTCCCTCTCTGCTCACTTTCTCCCACTTGTTTCCCTCCCCTCGCGTTTCTCTGCTGCCTGTTCCACTTAACCTGACGCTTCCTGTTTCAAGCCACCATTCCTCCGCGTTTCACGTCAGACGTCCACAGATCACCTTTTCGCGTTTCACAAGCGAGCGGTTTAGGTCTCGAATAATATACTAGGCCTCTAGCGACGCATGGGTTCGTATTCACAGCGTCCCTTCGCGTTGTTTAAATCAGTGCCGAGTCGGTTTTGAAGCTGAGGATGTCGGGAACGCTGATTGGTCAGGAGCTAGAGCCTTCTCTGCTCGTAGACGTGGAACTGCACTCGCCGCGCGATCCGGAGCTTCATCCGAGTCAGCATGCGAATCAGCAGCAGTTGGGCGGGAAAATGGAGTACAATTACCTCCAGGCACGTTTCGCGGAACCGAGCCTTTAATTTTGTTTGTAGGCAGGAAGCAGGATAAGGGAATTGCGTTACGCGGCGACGTCCTTATTGACGGTTCTTGTTACAACGCCATTCCGGCGTATTTCCGCTTTAGAGTTGTTGTTCGGCGTATGGCGAAGATTGGATATAACCTGTAAGCAGCAGGTTTCTGCATTGCCATCGACGTCAACAGCAGCACGGCTATATCTTAACCTGATCTCGGTGCCATATTAGGGCTTTGATTAAGGTCACACTCGACGGTGCGACTTCGTTTGTACGGCGACGCGATAGTGCCTGGTCAAGCGGTTTGACTTGTTCTTCATCGTGCTTCAGTATCCTCGATAGAGCTCCCCGCTGATACATAGCTGTCAGGGAAATATAACGGCTTAGGGCCGCTGATCAAGTAGCTAATGGAACGCCTTTTAAGGATTTATGAATTCGTTTTCTCAAGCGGTTACTGAATAACGCGTATTACTCTTCGAGTACATTGCTTCCCGTTCGTGGACGATTAGTACGTCGTTTTTGTTAATGCGCATCGATAGGACTGTCTCCACTGCTTCCCGCCACAACTGCGCAGCCCTTTCCTCTTACCACTCCTCCTGCGCGTAGATTCCTCTCTCCCCCCACTTACACGAAAACCACATATTCTTAGGTTTCCCGAGCAAAAATAACAATCCTCATCCTTATCCCCGCTCACGTGCAATCCGCGCGTGCCTGTGTGCGCATGTGATGGCGGTGGGTGCGCGCAGCGGGTGAAGGTGTACCGCCTCAACGACGACGGCAAGTGGGACGACAAGGGCACAGGCCATGTGTCCGTCGAGTATCTCGAGGTGAGGCCCGGGTACAGGCACGGGGGAGGGCGAGAACGCAGCAGACTTGCCTGTCCGATCTGGCATCCGTTCTGCAGAAGCCGCACCCTCGGGTCTAGCCCAGCGCGTTCTAATGCTCGCTCTCCTCTCTCCCTCCGCGTGCCTCCTTGTCGTATCCGTGGGTGGCGGGGCGATGCGTGGGTGGCGTGGCACGGTGGCAGCGGTCGGACGCGATAGGGTTGGTGGTGATCGACGAGGAGGACAACGCCACGCTGCTCGTGCACCGCATCTCCACCGACGACATCTACCAGCGCCAGGAAGGTACCGCCGGGGGAGGTAGACCCAGGAGAGGTAGACCCAAAAGAGGTAGACAAAGGGGCCTGCGGACGAATGCCTAGGAGAGGTTGTGCTGGGGGAAAGTAGGCTAAGGAAAGGTAGCGCCAAGGGAGGTGGTCCTAGGGGAAGTAGCTACCAGGGGAAATCGCCCCAGTTGGGAAGGTAGTGCTAGGAAAGAGGGATCTAGTCTAGGGGAAGGTAGTACTAGAGAAGGGCAGCAGGCATGCCCTGGTTACCACACTATGCCTCACAAATACCGCGCACTGCAGATTGCCCTTCCCGAGCCACCTGCTTACCAGAATCCCTTTCTACAACCCCCACTGCCCGCAAACCATTACCCCGCTCGGCTCTCCCCCAACCCCTCCCCCAACCCCTCCCCCAAATCCTCCCCCCAACGGCCCAGACACCATCATCTCGTGGACGGATCCCGAAGTGGCCACGGACTTGGCGCTCAGCTTCCAGGAGAGCATGGGCTGTGCTTATATCTGGTGAGGCTCATGCGTGCGTACACGCGATACAGAGCCTGCACACATTTTTTCGTCACCTCACAGACCAATTATTGTCGACCGTTGTGTTTTTGACACTCAACGGTCGCCCCTGATGGGATGGATTTTGAGAAACCAACTGATCGTATCAGCTCTTGCAGCGCCTCTTTCCTCCGCCCTCATCTCTCCTTCCCATTGGGCCCCTGCTTCTCTGCGCCTGCCTGCCTTCCCTCCTTGCCCGCTGCCTGCTCTCTGGGCGGCAGGGATCAAATCTGCAACGTGCAGCGCCAGATTCAGCTGCCATCCGTCCTTGGTACGCCAGTCCGTGTGCCGTCCGTCCTTGGTACGCCAGTCAGTGTGCCATCCGTCCTTGCTAAAGTGGTATAAATCCGTTCGTAGCAGCTGAGCTGGGCTTGTCACACGCTTACAGTTCTCATCCTCTCTCATCCTTTCAAAGCACTCTCACTTTGTTTCGTCACCTTGCTTTCTTTGCCATCTTTTCCACCTCTCACCTTCTCACCTGTAGCTCATCCCCCCTCTCCCTCTCCCTTCCCCTCCCCGGTCTCATCTCCTCGTCCCCCTCCCCCTCTCCCTCCCTCCCACACTCCCCAACCCCACCCCCCCCATGCAGCAACGGAGGTGGCAAAGGACTCATCGGAGCTGCCAGCAGTGGAGACCCGCACACTGCCAGCCATCGCAAAGGTCTGCTCTTCTTGCACTCACACACACACCTCACACACACTGCCGCCCATCTGCTGTGCTCCTCGTGTGACCCCTTGTCGTGCTGCGCCCCCACTCCTCTCTGCCGTCCCCAAGCCCTTCCTCCTCCCTGCTCCCATTGTTCCCTTACCTCTTCTTCCTGATGTCAGACTCGTCACGCCTATCGCCCCCCCACCCTGCCCCCCATGCAGCTGGTGACGGACGTCTCGCCCTTCCACCGGGATCGAATGGCATCTCTAATCCTCCGCGAGGTGATCCGCTCGGCCCCCGCCCTCCCTCCCTCCCTCCCACCCTTCATCCCTCCGCCCTCCATCCGCCACCCATCTTTCTACCACCCGTCCACCCCTCTCTCTGTTTTCCCTTTAAATTCTCCTTTTCCTGCCTTCATAACACTGCCCTAATGCTTACCTCTCCCACTATCCCCCTCCTCCAACAGGACTCACTTGCCTCCTCTACCCCCCCCTTCCCACCCTCACTCCCACACCACGTGCCACCCATCCGCGCACAGGGCTACGTGGCGCGGCTGGTGGCGCTGTTCAGGGCGAGTGAGGGAGCACACGACACCCCCGCTCTGCACCACCTCTACCGCGTCTTTAAAGGCCTCGGTGCGCCGCCCCTGCCCTGCCATGCTGCCTGATCTCCTGCTTTGCGCTCTGCTGCTCTCCCTTCTGCTGCTCTGGCGTGATGCACTCGCACTGTGCACTGCATCCCTCTGTCCATCTCCTCCATCCGCCCTCCAAGTCCATGCTGCCTTTGTCCCCTCAGTCTCCCTATTTCCAGCTCCTCCATTCCCTTGTCTCCACGTCCCTTCCCTCGACAGTGCTGTTGAACGACTCACAGCTGTTTGAGGAGCTGTTTGCACCGGATGCCATCATGGACGTCATTGGCGCGCTTGAGTGTGAGTCACCATGCCACCATGCCACATGTTCCCCCCACTGCATGCCTCACCTGCCACGTGTACCTCAAGTGTGGCTTCTATCTCCGCTTGCCCCACCTCCCCTCTCCCACCTCCCCTCTCCCACCTCCCCTCTCCCACCTCCCTCTCCCACCTCCCCTCTCCCACCTCCCCTCTCCCACCTCCCCTCTCCCACCTCCCCTCTCCCACCTCCCCTCTCCCACCTCCCCTCTCCCACCTCCCCTCTCCCACCTCCCCTCTCCCACCTCCCCTCTCCCACCTCCCCTCTCCCACCTCCCCTCTCCCACCTTCCCTCTCCCACCTTCCCTCTCCCACCTTCCCTCTCCCACCTTCCCTCTCCCACCTTCCCTCTCCCACCTTCCCTCTCCCACCTTCCCTCTCCCACCTTCCCTCTCCCACCTTCCCTCTCCCACCTTCCCTCTCCCACCTTCCCTCTCCCACCTTCCCTCTCCCACTTTCCCTCTCCCACCTTCCCTCTCCCACCTTCCCTCTCCCACCTTCCCTCTCCCACCTTCCCTCTCCCACCTCCCCTCTCCCACCTCCCGTCTCCCACCTCCCCTCTCCCACCTTCCCTCTCCCACCTTCCCTCTCCCACCTTCCCTCTCCCACCTTCCCTCTCCCACCTTCCCTCTCCCACCTTCCCTCTCCCACCTCCCCTCTCCCACCTCCCGTCTCCCACCTCCCCTCTCCCACCTTCCCTCTCCCACCTTCCCTCTCCCACCTTCCCTCTCCCACCTTCCCTCTCCCACCTCCCCTCCCTGTTCTCGCGTCACCCCTCCGCACCCCATTCTCCCCACCCTTCCCCACCCCCTTCTCCCCATTGCCTGGCCATTCAGACGACCCGGACGTGCCATGCAGGCAGCAGCACCGTGCGAGTGTGCAGCAGCAGGCAGTGTACCGCGAGGCGCTGCCCATCCCCAGCGCCGCCCTGCTCGCCAAGATCCACCAGACGTACCGCCTCGGGTACATCAAGGTGAGACTCGTGCTGTGCTGTGCTGTTCTGTGCTGTGCTGTGCTGTGCTGGTCAAAGCAGTCAACCCAGTCAACCCTCCCCATCCCCAGCGCTGCACTGCTCGCCAAGATCCACCAGACATACCGCCTCGGGTACATCAAGGTGCGCCCTTGGGGACATGAAGGTGAGACTCGTGGCGTGCTGTGCTGTTCAATAACCACCCAGTCAACCCAGTCAACGCAGTCAAAACACAGGTTAGGGTTGAGAGAGTGGGTGAGGATAGGAGGGCGGCAGTGTGTAGAGGGAGTCACCTTGGCATTGGCTGAGTCAAGTCAATGCAGTCCATGCGGTCAAGCGCCTGTTTCTTTCCTCACTGCCCCACGGCCCCTGTGCTCCTGTGCCCTGATGTGACTATCACAGGATGTGATTCTACCGAGGGCCCTGGACGACCAGACGTTCAGCAGCATCAACTCGCTCATTCTCTTCAATAACGTCGAGGTGCACCCCTCCTTCCTCGCTCCCTCATTTCCTCTCTCCTTCATTTCGTCTATATCGCTCCCGACAGCGCTCTCCTCTCCACCCACCAGAGCATCACTCGTTTATCACATCCTCCTGCCCTACTCCACCACACCACACCTCCCTACACTCCCCCTATTCATCTCTCCACGTCTCCTCTCTCTTCCCCTTCTGTACCTCAAACAAATTCTCTCCCCAACCCCCTCCCTACCACCCTCCCCCTGTCCCCCTTCCTTCCACAGGTGGTGACGACACTACACAGCAACAAGCCCTTCCTGGCGGACCTCTTTGCGAGCCTGCGCGCCTCTGACCCCCACTCGCCCCAATTCACCGACCTTGTGAGTTCTCCTCCTCTCCTCCACCCCCTTTCCTTGCTCCTCTCACTCCACTCGCCTGTCACCCACGGCCTGGGCTTCGGACACTGACTGCTTCCCTGTTTTGCGCAAGCAACCCCTCCTTCCCTCCCCACTCCTTCCCCACTCCCTCCCCATTCCTCCTACCCCACCCTCTCCCAGGTGCGGTTCCTGCAGGAGTTCTGCTCGCTGCACAAGCACCTGCAACTCGCCCAACGCACCTCCTTCTTCAGGTGCCTCTCAACCCACTCGCCCTCCCGCCATGCCTCCTCCACCCACCTCACCAACCCACATTCGACATCATGCTTCTCACTACCCCAATTCCTTTTCTGCTCTCCACACTTTTGGACTGGACTTCAAAAACCTTCCCTGCCCTTGTCTCTCCCAACCACCTCTCCCATCCACCGCTGTGCAGTGCGCTCATAGCGTTGGGCCTCTTTGACGTATGCACACTCGTCATGCAACACCCCCTGCACTCCGTGCGCCTCTCAGGGTGAGACGCACCACCCTAACCCGCCCCTTGCGCCTCTTGTCCCCATCTTGTGGTCTCGTCTATCAATCGGCCCATTTTTCAATGCGCATGTGGCGCACTCACTCTGTTCTCACATTCCTCCTTATCGCTCTCATCATTCCATTCCCTTATCTTTTTCCACCACCTCTCTCTCCCCCCCCCCTCCCTCTCACCACCACCATTGTGCAGAATCGACATACTCATGTCGTTGATGGTACCTGACCCCGCCCCTCTGCGCACGTTCCTCGTGGAGCAACCCTCCCACGCCCTCCTCTCCTGCCTCGTATGCATCCCCTCACTTGCGCCCTCCACCTCGGCCTCGTATGACTCTCTCATTCTTAATGCGTGCCAGTGACGCAAACACCCTGATGCTTTATTCCATAGGTATGATATGAACGAACTCAGCATCTGATGTGGTGTTCCGCTATATTGCACTGTGGTGTGGGGGGAGCAGGTGCGCGGCATGGTGGCGTGCAGGCAGGTGGAAGGAGGGCTGCACGCACAGCTGCTGGAGATGCTCAGAGTGCTGCTGGACCCCGATACCATGGATGCGGTGAGGCAAAGATGTGTGCTGCATGCTGTGTGAAGGGATGTAACACTGCTATAGCTGCTGCTATGGGTTACAAGAGAGCCATACTGCCAGGCATGCATGCACACATGCGCCGGTTGTCACATCCTCACATGCATCAGTTGTGACATCCTCACATGCATCAGTTGTGACATCCTCACATGCATCATTCACACAACACAGTCCAGGCATGCACTGATGCGTTGACAGAGCTGCTTCATGTTCTTCTCTCTCCTCTTCGCCCCATCGCTCCCTCTCCTTCCTTCCCTACCAGGCCGACAAGAGCAAGTTTCTGGACCTCTTTTATGAGGACTATCTTCAGCTGCTCATCTCAGCCGTTGTTGCCGGCACCAGCGCATCTCAGCCGTCCACGTTCCCCGCTGCTGCCCGAAATTCTACCGGGGCTATGAAGAAGAGGCGGGCAGCACAGGGGAGAGCAGATGGTGGGGCGAGTGGGAGAGTAGATAGAGAAGCGGGGAGGGGAGCAGGAGGCAGGGGTGATGATGCAGAACCAGCAGAGAGGGATGGAGCAGAAGGACGGGAAGCAGAGAGAGGGGGAGCAAGGGGCGGAGGAGCAAGGGGTGAAGAGCAGGGGGATGCAGAGGGCGAGGAGAGGCAGAGCGGAGAGGGGGGTGGAGGCGAGCGGGGCGAGGAGCCGCCGTCACCGGATGTGCTGACGAGCATCTGTGACCTGCTGTGCTTTTGCGTGCAACACCACAGCTTCCGCATGAAGTAAGGCCTCTCCATTCCTCCCACCGTCTCTCCCGTTAATTCTTTCACTGCGGTGGGGAAGCTGCCGCAGCCCCTTTCTCCCCGGTTTCCCTTCTCAAGCACTCAGACACCCCCTCTCTGTCCCCACTTCCCCCCTGCTCCCTCTCCCCCTTGCTCCTCCTTCCCCTCCCCCAGGTACTACGTGCTGCGCAACAGCGTGGCAGAGAAGGTGCTGCGGTTGACGCAGCGGCGAGAGAAGTACCTCTCTGTGGCCGCCATCCGCTTCCTGCGCTGCTGTATCGCACTCAAGGTATGGCTGGCATCTCATGGCATTACATGGCATCTCATGGCATCACATGGCATCACATAGCATCTCATATGATGCACACTCTTCTTTTCCCCGCCCTCCCTTCCGCCCACCATATCTGGTGAAGAACCGCCTGCTGGACCCGGTCATGGTGGCCTTCTCAATCCACTCACAGCTCACCATCCACCCCCCTTTTCTCTCTCCCTCCCCCCCCCCCCCCCTCACTGCACCTTGCACAGGACGACTTCTACGTGCGCTATCTGGTGAAGAACCGCCTGCTGGACCCGGTCATGGTGGCCTTCTCAATCCACTCACAGCTCACCATCCACCCCCCTTTTCTCTCTCCCTCCCCCCCCCCCCCCTCACTGCACCTTGCACAGGACGACTTCTACGTGCGCTATCTGGTGAAGAACCGCCTGCTGGACCCGGTCATGGTGGCCTTCTCAATCCACTCACAGCTCACCATCCACCCCCCTTTTCTCTCTCCCTCCCCCCCCCCCCCCTCACTGCACCTTGCACAGGACGACTTCTACGTGCGCTATCTGGTGAAGAACCGCCTGCTGGACCCGGTCATGGTGGCCTTCTCAATCCACTCACAGCTCACCATCCACCCCCCTTTTCTCTCTCCCTCCCCCCCCCCCCCCTCACTGCACCTTGCACAGGACGACTTCTACGTGCGCTATCTGGTGAAGAACCGCCTGCTGGACCCGGTCATGGTGGCCTTCTCAATCCACTCACAGCTCACCATCCACCCCCCTTTTCTCTCTCCCTCCCCCCCCCCCCCCCTCACTGCACCTTGCACAGGACGACTTCTACGTGCGCTATCTGGTGAAGAACCGCCTGCTGGACCCGGTCATGGTGGCCTTCTCAATCCACTCACAGCTCACCATCCACCCCCCTTTTCTCTCTCCCTCCCCCCCCCCCCCCCCTCACTGCACCTTGCACAGGACGACTTCTACGTGCGCTATCTGGTGAAGAACCGCCTGCTGGACCCGGTCATGGTGGCCTTCTCAATCCACTCACAGCTCACCATCCACCCCCCTTTTCTCTCTCCCTCCCCCCCCCCCCCCCTCACTGCACCTTGCACAGGACGACTTCTACGTGCGCTATCTGGTGAAGAACCGCCTGCTGGACCCGGTCATGGTGGCCTTCCGTGCCAACGGGGCGCGCTACAACCTCCTCAACTCCGCCGTGCTTGAACTCATCGACTTCGTCCGCAAGGTACGGTTACAGGCGAAGGGGCAAGGGGCAAGGGATGTGGTGGAAGGGGAAAGGGATGAGGCCTTTTGAGATTGCTCCAAAAATGCACTAAGGCTCATTGACTTGCCATGCCACTCTCACTCTCACTCTCACTCTCACTCTCACTCACACTCTCACTCTTACTCTCACTCTCACTCTCACTCTCACTCTCACTCTCACTCACACTCTCACTCTCACTCTCACTCTCAATCTCACTCACACTCTCACTCTCACTCTTACTCTCACTCACTCTCACTCTCACTCACACTCTCACTCTCACTCTCACTGTCGTGCACTGTGTGCGTGGTGTGCGCTCCTCAGGAGAACGTGAGGCCGCTGGTGGCGTACATAGTGGAGTCATACGGGTCGTGGCTTGACTGCATTGACTACGTTGACTCCTTCAAGCTGCTGCGACTCAAATACGAACAGGTGAGAGGGATGGCACACGGGCGTGCAGGTGGGGCAAGAAGTGTGGAGGAGGTGGGTAGAAGAGAGGCGCATGTCCCGAGTGCTGCCCAAGTCATTGTCGTGCCCCACACCATCATTGTCGTGCCCCACACCATCATTGCACCCCCGACTGCTCCCCCCCATCACTTCACTGCCCCCATCACTTCCCCCCTCCCCCCCTCCCCTACCCATGCCCCCCCTCCACAGAACCTCGAGTCCAACAGACCAGCTGTGCCTCCCCCAGTCGTCATTCTCCCCCCTTCCACCTCCTCTCACCACCACCACACGCACCACCACCATCACCACCAGCACCAGCACCACCATCAACAGCAGCAGCAACTCCCCTCCTCTCCTCCCTCATCTCCGCCCCTCCACTCTGCCGCTGAAGCCACTGCTGCTGCTGCGGGCGAGGAAAGACATGATAATGGCGCTCGTAGTGGCTCTGCCACCACTGCACATGCGTGTGCGCATGTTGACGCTGATGCTGTTCCTCATAGTGATGGTGATGATGCTGCTGATGCTGCTGGTCCTGATACCAGAGATGCTGGCAACGATGATACTACTAACAATGATGCTGATGCTGCTGATGGTGGTGATGATTATGATGATGATGATGATGATGATGATGACGATGGTGAGGAGGAAGAGGAAGAGGAAGAGGAGGATGAGGATGAGGAGGAAGAGGATGTGGAAGCTGAAGGCGAGGGTGGTAGCAATGTCGAAACTAACGATGCCGACGCGAATGCCGATGAAACCAAGGACACTGATGCTAACAGTAGGGACGCTCAGAGGCATCCGAACCTCTCTGGTTCAGCAGCAGGCTCAGCTCTGGGTGTTGTGCCGGTGATGGGAGGGGAATGGGATGGGGGTGACGAAGGAGGAGGGGGATTGGAGGTGGAGGGTGGGAGGGGGAGAGGGAGAGGGAGAAGACAGAGACGCAGTCGAGAAGGGGGGGTGGAGGCGGATCCGCAAGACAACGGTTTTCAACAAGATGGCAGGTGGGGATTGCGATGGATTTTCTTGTCTTTTCAAAAGTTGGCAGGTGGGATCTTGCCTTTCTGCCGTGCATCCTCTTTCCCTGTTCTCTTTCCCTGTGCTCTTTCCCTGTGCTCTTTCCCTGTGCTCTTTCCCTGTGCTCTTTCCCTGTGCTCTTTCCCTGTGCTCTTTCCCTGTGCTCTTTCCCTGTGCTCTTTCCCTGTGCTCTTTCCCTGTGCTCTTTCCCTGTGCTCTTTCCCTGTGCTCTTTCCCTGTGCTCTTTCCCTGTGCTCTTTCCCTGTGCTCTTTCCCTATGCTCTTTCCCTGTGCTCTTTCCCTGTGCTCTTTCCCTGTGCTCTTTCCCTGTGCTCTTTCCCTCTGCTCTTTCCCTCTGCTCTTTCCCTCTGCTCTTTCCCTGTGCTCTTTCCCTGTGCTCTTTCCCTATGCTCTTTCCCTGTGCTCTTTCCCTGTGCTCTTTCCCTGTGCTCTTTCCCTGTGCTCTTTCCCTCTGCTCTTTCCCTCTGCTCTTTCCCTCTGCTCTTTCCCTGTGCTCTTTCCCTGTGCTCTTTCCCTGTGCTCTTTCTTCACCATCGCAATCACTCTTCCTTTCTCTGCTGTCACCCACATGCCTCTCCGCCGTTTCTCCCTTCTGCTGCCATCCCCACCACTGCCAGTGATGAAGATGCCGACAACCCTGAGTCTGCACCAGCAACGGTGCCAGGAACCCACTCCCCCCCTCTCCACCCGCCCCACCTATCCATTCCCCTGCCCTCCCTCCACCCCCCTCCTCGCCTCCACCCCTGGTTACCCCCGCACCAACCCCTCTCCCCCACCGCCCGCCGGCCGTTCTCTCGTTCGCCCTCTCCCCCTCTCGGGCGGCCGTCTTTGTCTCCACCCGCCCGCCCGTTGTCCCCATCTGCCCGCCACCGCATGTCACGATCGCCCTCGCCGCCCCCACCACTGGCCCCACTGCCGCCCATCAACGGCACCATCGGCAGCGAGTCTCGCAGGTGGGGTTCTGAGGCTGCTCTAGTGGAACCTGGAACGCCCTGGTTTCACATGTCAGTCAAAGGGAGGCAGATAGAGCGCTGCAAAGAGTGGCCCCATGTGGCACTGGATCATGTTCTATCCTCTGTGCCTTTGCTCTCGTGCCCAAAAGCTCCCTCCAAGCCCCTAATTCCCTTGAATTAGCCTAGAATCCAATCGCAGCTTGCCATTTTTGTGACCGGCCTTAAAACTGTCCTTGCTTGCTCCTCTTCCCAACCGTGCCCTCCCCCGTTCAGGAAGCGGCCGCGTGGGTGCATGGACTCGAGTTCAGCGCAGGCAGAAACCGGGGCGGATGGAAGGGGGGAGAGTGGGTGTGAGCAGGGAGGGGAAAGCAGTGAAGTGGCAGAGTGGGCAAGCAAGGGCAGGGCGGCAGAGGGAGGTGAGCCGGGGCCTAGCAGCAAGGCACTTGGTAGAAAGCGCAGGTCTATCGAGGGGAGAGGCGGGAGTGAGGGTGAGGAAGCAGGAGGTGGGACGAGGCAGGGGAGGAGGCAGTTGAGTGTGGTGGTGGGGGAAGGGGACGGGGAGGGCGCTGGGGAGGACCAAGTGGACTATGGAGATGGCAGTCCCAAGGGCAGCAGTCCCAATAGCGGCATTCTCAGTGGCGGCAGTCCCAAGGGCAACAGTCCAAAGGGCGGCAGTCCCAAGGACGGCAACCCCAAGGGGGCTAGTTCCAAGGGGTGCAGTCCCAAAGGTAGCAGTCCCAAGGGCGGCAGTCCCAAGGGGGCTAGCCCCAAAGGTAGCAGTCCCAAGGGCGGCAGTCCCAAGGGCGGCAGTCCCAAGGGTGACGCGAGGGTGGGAGGTGGGAGAAGCGTTGGAGATGCAGGCAAGAAGGCACTGTGCATGAGAAAACGGTTCCTGCAGGTGCGCACTCAGGATAACACCACTGCGGTGCCTCTGGGGGAGGTGGCACCTGGGGGAGGGGCGCCCAAGAGAAGAGGAGGGGCGCAGGAAAGGGAGGAGCCGACTCTTGGTGTGTGCTCCCCTCGCCCTGTGCTCTATGACCCGTGGCAGAGCGCGAGGGGGAAGGGGAGAGAGCGGGCAGGGAGTGTGGAAGGAGACGAGGGCGATGGTGGTGAGGATGGCGAGTGGGCTGCTAGGCTGGCTATGGCTGAGGAGGAGGAGGAGAGGAGGCACGCAGATGGGGGTGATGGGATTGAAGGAAGTGGTAACAAGGGTGAAGGGAACGAGGGAGCGAGGGGAGGTGGAGGGGTGGAGGGTGAGTGTGCAGTGAGTGGGGTCAATGATGTGGGGGAAAAGGGTGGTAGGGATGCAGGTGGTGGAGAAGAGGGCATGGATGGAGCAGAGAGGGGAGAGGAGGAGCAGGAGGAGAAGGCAAAGGGGGAGAATGCAGGCAGTGGTACGATGATCATAGGTGATGAGGCAGGTGGGTCGGATGGGCAAGGTGAGGCAGGTGGAGCAGAGGCACTGACAGCAGCGGCGGGAGGTGCACCAAGTGCAGGGCGGTCAGTGGTTGAGGCGTTGAGGTAGCGAGCATTCTGCGAGCAGCACAGGAATAGCTGGGGCTGCTTTGTAGCAGCCCCAGCAGCGGTATGTCACATCACATGCCGCTTCACATGTCACACCACGCCGCTTCAAGCGCAATGCAGCTGATTCTGCAAGGCGTATGGCAGCATGCAGCTCGAGGGTGGGTGTGCTGGGTTAATTAATGGGAGGAAGTGTAGTTTGTATCTCGTAGTGGCTCCCTCCGTTATTTGTGAATCCTAAGCTTCGGCTGATCTTTGAAAAACATATCAGAATTAATTAATCTCCCAGCTCCTGGCCTACAAGGCCAATACAAGTCAAAAACCAGTCCATAGACTCCAATTTCCCCTAAAGAGGCATGTCTACCCTCTCTAAACCCCAAACCACCAATCACAACCGCCACGTCTACCAATCACGGTCCACGAGTTGCAGCATGGCAGCAGCATGAGGCCCTCTCAACCACGCCACCAGGTCCGGTCCAAATGCTGTCAGCCTCCCCACATGCTGCTGCCCCCGCCCCCCCCACCCCCAAGGGCAGCCCCAGGCGCTCCACCTCCTGCACCACCGCCTGTCGCACCCGCCCCTCCCCTTGCACACCCCTCTTTCCCCTCCACCTGCTGCTGTGCCCGCCTTGCCCTGTGACCACGACCACTTGGTGTGGTGCCACCACCACTCCAGGCGCCCCCTTCCCCCTCGCTCCCCCCCCTCCCCCGGTTACTCTCACCAGCACCAGCTGCCACGCCGCTGCCGGCACCAGCTGCACCAGCAGCTCCGGCCCCCCTGCGTCTTCTCCTGCCGCTGCCTCTGCCTCTGCCTCTGCCTCTCCCTCTCCCTTTCTCTCTGCCTCTGCCTCATTGCTCCACACTGATCCCCCTCCCCCATGGCTGGAACCATCTCTTTGGTGACATGCCTCACTCCTACTCCTCTCATCCGGGCTGTCGCTGGTAACAGCAGCAGCAGCGCCCACCTGCCACCGTGCAGTGTCATTACAATGCACCACGTGGAGCAGCTTTACCAGCCACTGGTTCAGTGCCACCGCTGCTCCTCCGTACGACAGTCGCCGCACGTCCAGCTGCCACGTGTCGCCGCCTAATTGGACCAGCTCAGTCGCAGCACCTCCACCTTGTCTGGTTGTGATCACCTCCCCACCGACCCCTCGGTTGACCACATCACCCACACTCCTCTCACTATCAGGGCTGCTGCTGCTGCTGCTGTCAATACTCTCACTGCTACTTGTGCTGAAACTTCTCCTCATACTGCTGTTGCTACTGCTGCTGCTGCTACTGCTGCTGCTGCTGCTGCTGCTGCTTTTCCCTTTGCCTACCCACCTACCGTTTTCCCTCTCCCTGTTCCCGTTTGCACCTCCTGATACCTCCCCCAACCCCTGCATCAACCCAGCCTGCAGGGCGGCAGACAGGACAAGCGCTGCCCTCCGGTGCCGCCCAAACGTCCAGAGGCAGTCTGTGAGAGTGGAAGCAAGCACCTCATGAGCGCGCGTGACGTGAGAGTGAGAGTGAGAGTGAGAGTGAGAGACGGAGAGATGTGTGGGAGGAGGAAGGGAGGAGGAAGAGGAGGAAAGGGGTGGTGACGGTTGGGAGAAGAGGAGGTGGGCGAGATTTTGCACCTGGGGAACGCAGGGAGGCATGAGCGAGAGGAGGATGAAAGACGGTGAGCGTTGGGAAGAGTGAGGAATAGGGATGCAAAAGAGGAACAAGGGGTGAAAGCCATGAGCAAGCTGGTGCAACGACAATGGGGCAAGAGAGGAAGTAACGGGGGGAGAGAGGAGGAAGGCAAGGCAGGCATGCTGTAAACCATAACTCCACCTCAACACACCTGAGCATCAGACAGGCCATCTTGCAGGATCAGCCGAGCACATGCCTCCCCCACGCCCCCCTCACTCTCCACCTCCCCCACAAACCACCTCAGCACCCTCCCCGCCTCCTCCTTCCTCCCGCTGCAGCACCCCGCTACACCCGCCAGCACGCTCGTCACCAGCGCCACGTCAGCACGCTGCTGACACGCCACCACGTCAGCGAGCACCGACTCGATGAGATCCGGCCGGCTGCGAGCGGCGCAGGAGGAGACGAGGGTAGCGAAGGTGAAGTGGTTGGGAGGGATGGAGAGGGATCGCATCTCCCGGTACACGTCCCACACCTCTGCACTCCTCCCAGCCGCTGCATATGCTGCCATGAGAGTGCTGTATGTCACTGTGTTGGGCCGCACGCTGGGCCAGGGGAAGCGAGCCTTGCGCTTGGGAGGGCTCTCAGCTTCGTGCTGCCGCTGCTGAAGGTAGGAATGATGTTCTTGCTGTGTACTGAAATCACCTGCTTTCTCTGCATCCCTCACTTCCATCACCTGCTCTCCCTCCTCGTACTTTCCACCCCCATCCCAAAACCCCTCCTCAAACCCATCGCCCTCGCCTCTTTCCTCCTCGTCCTCCTCCTCCCCAACCCCTGCTCCCCAACCATCCCCTCCCACCCCTCCTACTACCCCTCTTCCTTCACCTGTCTCGGACCGCTCTCCACCCATCATAACGCCTCCTTCCCCCCGCATGAGCCCTAGCACGCCTTCAGCAGCGTCAGCATCGCCCTTTATGGCATACCCATGCATCAAAGCATTCCATGTCCGCACATTAGGCTGCACTGCTGCAACATGCACGCCATCCCCATCCAACGCATCGTCCCCATCCCCCCATCCACCCCCATTCCCCCCATTCCCTCCCCCCATCCCCCCCCCACCCCCCACCACCCCCAGCAACAACTCCTCCGCCTCCTCCACCCGCCCAGCCTGCCCCAGCCCCCACACATACGTCGTCAGCAGGGCGGCGTTCATCGGCAGCTTGTGCGCCGCCCACATGTGGTGCAGGAGCGAGAGGGCGGCATCAGGGTCTGCATGCACAAAGTGCATGTGAGCAATCATGTTGACTGCTGCCTGTGTGGGCGGCACTCCCCTCCTCTCCATGTCCCTCAGCAGTCTCCGTGCCTCCTTCACTTGACCCCCATTCACACATGCGCGTATCAGACTGCTATAGGCGGATGCGCTGAGAGTGTGGGTACGCGGAGGGGGTTGCTTGCTGCTACCTGCACCAGAAGCAATCGCAGCAGGAGAAGGGCTTCCTTCTGCCATGTCAAGATGTGTCTTGTCCGCGTCAGCATGTGCCCTATCCATTGCCGCATGTGTGAGGCGCACCAAGCGCAGCAGGTCAAACAAGTCCCAGCCATCCCGCGCCTTGGCTCGCAGCATCAAATCTAAAGACTCTGAATTCGGACACGGCAGTCGATGGCAAGTCAACGAGTCACCACCATGCATCCCTGGTGATGCATCTGATCCACCCATGAGGAATTGCACCCATGGATCGAACCCCGTTTCCCCCCCGCTCTCTCTCCCCTAGTCTCCCCCTTTCGTTCTGGACTCTAGTCCGGCTTGGGCTGTGGTGAGCAGGGTGGGAGGGAGGGAGGTGGGGGGGAGGAGGGAGAGGGAGAAGAGGTGCTGTGCGTGCTGGTGCAGGCCCGCTGCTAGGAGCGATTGGAGGAGCAGGTGGAGCGAGGAGGGGGTGAGGGGAGGGGGGTAGAGTGATGGTGCTGACAGGGCCGGTGATGGGCTTTGTGGTGGTGATTGCGATTGGGATAGCGATGGTGTTGGTGATGGGGATGGTGATGGTGATGGGGATTGGGCTGAAGGGATGGTGGAGTAGGGTTGGGAGGGGGATACAGGGGGAGAGAGGAGGGCAGGGCGGAGAGCAGAGAGGGAGGTGGGCCCGAGGGGGTAGTGGTGGGGGATGGAGTCGGATAGGAGAGTGAGGGAGAGGGGTGGGGCGGAGGGAGAGAGGAGGGCGGAGGAGTGAATTGCCTCCAATAAGGCCACCTGATGGGCGGGGCGGTGTGGGTGAGGAGAGAAGGGGGGGGAGCATGGGGGAAGAGTGAGAGGGGAAAGGATTGAGATGGATGAAGCGAGAGAAGGGTGGGAGGTGAGAGAGGAAGGCGCGACAGGACAGAGGTGTGGAACAGGAAGAGGTGCAAGCAGAAAGAGCTGTGTGAGTGGATGAGGAGAAAGCGCGTACAGACAGGATGGAGGGCCGCATGGATGAAGGGAAACGGCTGGATCCGAAGAGCTGTGGAGCATCCAACGGCTGTGAGAGGTCCAGATGCTGCATGGCGGATCCAAGCAGACCTTCAAGCACCACTTGTGCTGCCGATGGGGAAGGTGATGGTATTGATCGTGATAATGCTGCCGATGGGGAAGGTGATGGTATTGATAGGGATAATGCTGCTGATGCTGGAACTTGCATCTCTGCCAAGGCTTCTCCTGCCACTGGTGATGCCAGTGGCATGGCCTCTTGAGGCGGGAGGGAGGAGAAGGCAATTATGGAGGGCGTGTGGTGGAAGGGAGTGCTGCTTTCACGAGGAAGCTCAGCTGGTGTGGAGGAGTGGTAATCCATGGTAGAGTGCGGTACAATGCAAGTTAAAACGGCCTCAAGTGCGCTGCTGCTGCTGGCTCTAGTTTTCATAATGTCACCACTGCCGTCACTACTGCTGCTGCCACTGCTGCTGCTTGCGCTGCTGCTAGAGCAGCTCTCCCCATGCCACGTGGTGCCCACGAGCGCATCCACGTCATCCACCACCACCACTCGTATATCAGACAGCAGTGCTGCCACGTCAGGGTTTACAGTATGCTCATGCTGCTGCGTCATCTTATGTTGCTCTTGCATTGTGCCTTGCCGGCATTGCTCTTCCTGCAGCGATGCATCACCAGCTGAAAACGCTTCCCGTGCACCATCAAGTGCACCATCAACTACACCGCTCTCTTGTGCGCACACCACTGCTGCAGTCACCGGCAGCAGAGAATTGATAGTTTCGTCGAGTGCCGGCGGAGATAGAGGTGCAGGCGGAGCAGAGTGAGCGGGCAAGGAGTCAAAAAGGGCCAAGAGCTGCTCGGGAGTTAACATCACCACACCACCCCCACCCCCACCTCCCCCTCCCCCTCCCCCTCCCCCTCCCCCACCTTCTGCCTGCAACCCCTGCCCGCCCCGCCCCTCAACCTCTCTCCCTGTTGCCTCTCCCGTCATATCAACCTCTTCCGCCCCCCACCCACTTCCAATGCCACCAGCGCTTCCCCCGTCGCTCTCTCCTCTTCCCCGCTCCCCTCTCCCCCTGTCTCCCCCTGGGTCCCCCCAAGCAGTCTGCAAGCGGAGCAGGCGGTCGGGGGAGCAGAGCACGAGCACAGAAGGGGGGGAGGTGGAGGGAGGAGACAGGGCCAGGCGGGGGGGCGAGTGGTATACAATACGAGCCCCCAAAGGCGGAGGGGATGCAGTGGGTGGGAAGGTTGCAGGGGAAGCTGTTGCCTGGCTGCTACTGATGCCTCCATGTGTTGAGGATGCGGCCTGACTGTAAACATCATCTGCTAACACCTCCCCTGACCCTCGCCCTAGCCCCCTGCCTAGGCTGCTGCTCTCCTCCCCACTGCTCCCCTCCCTGCCGCTCCTCTCTGCACTGCTTTTCTCTCCACTGCTCTGCTCTACGCTGCTCTCCCTGCTCCCTCCTCTGCTGCGGCTGCTGCTGCGGCCGCTCCTGCAGATAATGCTGCTGCTGCCACCTGTCGTGTACGGATTGGCTGCGTACGACGCCAGCATGGACGCCAGCTGGTATGGGGGTAAAGGGGATGCCGTGAAATCAGCACGAGAGGGAGTCAGCAAGAATCAGATGTAAGAAGAGGGAGCTAGGGAGAATCAGAAGAACAGAGAGAGAGAGAAACAGAAAGGAATAAGGGGTAGGGGGGCACTAAGGGGGGGGGACAGGGAGGGGTTAATAGGGATTGTGGGAATCATCGAATAAAAACTGCATGTCTGTACCCTGCCTGAATTAATACAAAGGACCGTCTGAGAGAAACAGAAAGGAATAATGAGAGAATGGAGAAGAATCGATGAGAGGTGGGGAAAGAAAGGAATGGACGAGCAGCAGGGAGGACCAAGGGCGCTCACCACAATGCCAACAGCCGTTCCAGAACCTGACTGGGCGCGGATGTACGCATGGCGGTTGCCCGCTGGTGGGATGGGATGGAGCGAGGAGAGGGTGAATTTTAGGTGGCAATTGCAAAAGTAGCAGCGCAGTTGGGCATCGAAATAGAGCAGAGAGGCATAGAAGGCAATCATGGGTTAAATTAGGCTGAGGCAGCAGCAGTAGCTGCAGCTCCTCACAACACAACAACCAACCAGCCCACAAGAAACGGAGGCGTTAGAGGAGTAATAAGTGTAGTCAGTTTAGTGACTGTTGTAATGGCAGTGAGTGAAGTGAGGGCAAGGCGTACAGCGAAGGAGGTCATGGAGCGAGAAGTGGTTGTGCGCTGCTCTGTGTGCACGCCTGTGCGCTCGCGATGCCGTTGCTGCTGCTCTCCCTGCTTCAGATGCCACCATTGCCATTCCCGTTGTTGCTGCTGCTGCTGCTGCTGCTGCTGCTGCTGCAGCTGCAGCTGCTGCTGCTGCTTCTGCCGCTTCTCTTGATTCTACTGTTGCTTCTGGTACTGCTGTTGCTAATAACGACGCCTCTGTTGCTGTAATTTCTTCTGGCGCTGTCGCTGCTGCTGCCGCTGCATCCACTGCCAAAGCATCCTCAGCGATAGGCCCGCAACCCGCGCTTTCACTCACCTCACCCGCTTCACTCGTCTCCGCCACGTGCGCCGGCATCTGCTGCCACCCGTTACCCCCGCCCAGAGACGAGAGCGCCCGGCAGCCCCCCGCCCTCGCCGCACATGACGCTACCGGGACGACGGCACTACACTCTTTGCCTTGCGCGGCGACGCTGAGACGCGACACGTGGCTCTTTGCGCTGCTGCCAGATGGCAGGGTGGGGAAACCGCTGGACAAGTGAAGGCTCGACACGGGAACCGCCACAGCAAAGGGAGTGCCGCGACGCCCTAAGAGACTCCCTGCACGCACAATAGACACCCGCTGCGGATCTCGAGGCAGTGCTATTGGCCAGAGAGTAATAAGGGACCCTGGAGCTACCCTGTGTCTCGACCGCGGTGCGTCATTGCCCTTTGATCCCGTCCGTGCGACGCGCGTCAGGTTACCTGCAGGGGCGTGCGAAGATGGTGGTAACTGCAGTATCTGCTCCGTTTTCGCTGCAGCTGGCCGTGCAGGGGACGCGGATTCGCAGCGCGATGGGAAAGTTCGAGCGGCGAGGGAGTTGGCATCTCTCCAGCACGACTGAATCACCTTTCGCCTCGCCATCTCGAAATGCAAATTGCTAAGGGACTAGAGACATCCTCAGCGGGAGCAGAGCAGAAACGGTTGATTCACAAACGGCGGAGACGGGTGTGGGAAATGGCACTATGTAACGGAAGTGAATCCTACACGACACATGTGGACAAGATCCTAGGGACGCGTGTGCGATAATTAGGAGGCTCTACTGAATTTGGTGAGCTTTCGTTGGAAGCTTCTAGCTCCACGTTTGTCTGATTGTCATCCCCGCTTTCTGTCGATGCCTCCATAATGGTTGTAGCCTGTGGGATTTCAATATTTATAGACTTTCTAAGCACCTCCCCAAAGAAATCAGAGCACTTAATCAAACTGCAGATGTTGTTTCACTGTGGAAATTATTATCATAAGGTAACATATGTTGAATAAAATTCAGTATAAAAAATACAAAAGAATTTATTCAATCAAATATATGTACACTGATGTACCCGAAAAGCAGTCAGAGTTATCATACTCAGTGGCTTCTGACCTGGTCCACTGATTTTATATCGAGTCGTGTTCTCAGACCCTAAACGGGTATACAACAATGAGACACTCCACGGACGCGATCGTCAATGTTTTTCTCGTGATGGCAGAAAAACAAGACGATATATTTGTCGTTTTCGACCAGTTACGGGCAGGTGTGGGGTTCTGATCTGACAGGAGAGGAGAGGACGTGGTGCCCATGAGGTGCTGGCGAAGATCGTGCCTTTACCGTACTGACATCCCTGAAACCACGTCAAACATTTTCTTCTTTCCCGATTCCGAAAGGACACGAAACACCCTTTTCAACGAGCACGTGATGAACCGCAGTGCGGCTGTCGTGGTGTGGGAGAAAAATGTTGCCCGCATGCGCAGCTGCTCACAAATGCCAAGCCAACCTACCAGCTGCCATGCCACCCTACCTCCACCCTCGTGAATAATGGCGGCAACTTACCTCACCCTCATGGCACGAGGGCCGGCTACTCGTGTGGCACATGGCGTGGGATCTCACTCGGTCAACATGACGAGA